ATTAACATTCCCAATTTGAAGATAATTTTCTATTTAATATAATTGCAGGAAATAATTTATTGGCTGATTAAGACCAAGGGCCCAGCCTTCCTTAAGAAAACACTCCCTAACAAACCAGCCTTTAAAAGCCATCTCATAGCTTTGGACAGATTTAACCTATTTTCGCAGCTGCACAGTTGCCTTTAATTAGGATTGTGCACTGTTATTCATTGGTGCAGTTTGTAGCTGGAATTATTCTTAAGAGACATTTTCATTTCTGGGTTTGTGTCATGATTAATTTAGACTGAAAAAAGCAACCAAAGCTTATTCCTTCTGGAAGAAGTCAGTCCTGCTTGTAATTGGAGGATGCCTACTAATACTCAAGTGAATAGAACGCTCTTCTGAATAACTCTTTTAAACACACCGTACCCTTAAAACCACCGGAGATACATTCACAGTTTTACTGTGTGGTAATCATAACAGCGTGTATGCAGATTTTGTGTCCAAAAGAAGGTGATGGATCTTGCACTTGAATGCCAAATATTTGTGCTAACATATCACTCTGCAGTGCTTGAATCCCTTCATTACAACTCAAGTGTAATGGTTAGGCTACTTTGCAGTGTTGCAAGATTTGGGACCAAGAACTGCACTATTGGGAGACGGAAACTGTTGTTCTGTCCCTGTTGAAATCTGAAAAATTCTCTCAGATTCTGAGTTTTTTAGTTGCTTATATAGGCAGCTTTAGTATTGTACAGATAGTGTTCATACCAAGCTAAGAATCCACTTACAGCTGAAACCGAGCAAAGTTATGAGAGAGAAAGAGAGCGAGCGAGAGTGAGAGCATTGTTAACTACCTAGATTACTAAGGAGGTATCAACATCATATGTATTTCCTTCAAAATAGCTCATGATACTTTTATTTAGAAATGTACATAATTAGATTAGCTGCCACTTACAATGATTTTTCATCACTAAATCAGATAATTCTAATTAATTGTGAGAAATTTAGCATTAGCTGTTAAATCCTATGTGAAAGTTGGCCTGCTACATTAAAATGTACTGTTTAAATTGGAATTAACTTAATTATTTTTCTTTACACTTGATATTTCCTTCACTGTAATATTCATGAAAGCATGTGTCAGATCTGTAAATTTAACTGTTAGTCTCAGATTTCCAGGCTCTTTAATCAGTAATTATTTGTCTATAGAAACAGTACTACTGAGTTAATGATTTGCTAATTTGGAAAATGCTCATGTGGTTTCCTCTGTTAACTGATTTGTGCATTTTTAAGAATATTGTATGAAATCAATTATTATTAAAGAGTAATTAAGGTGGAGACTGTGTTCTTGAGTTATTGATGCAGCTTTGATTAAAAATAGGATATTCTGAATTTCCTAAAATCTCAAGGTTTTCTCTAAACATATATTTCAGCAGTGACTTTAGGTTAACAGTAGCTTTATGTGAAATGAAACTTTATTGTTTTTTCATTTTACTTGATATAAGTTATTCTTTTATTAACACTGTCACATTTCTGCCTCTGTAGAAAAGGAACAAAATATTGTGTGTATGATAGAGAAATAGCAGGGACTTTGAATGTTTATTTCCTTGTTTATATACCTGTTTTCACTGCAAATTATTTACACCTTGGTTTAAATGTACAATATAAAGCTAAAAATTGTCCGACACACTTAATTCAAGTTATAGAAGACTAGTGAAGCTACATATTATATATGCATCAACTGAGTCACTTGGCATTGCAACAGTCTTTTCATTTTTGTTCCAATACACATTTTAACATATTTATCTAGCTATAGTTAAAATAGCTTAACAGTGCAGTCTTATACATATCTACATAAAAATATGTCCTATTTCACTACAGGCAAGCGAGTGTAGTACTGAAGCCTGAGAAATAATAATGCTTTAGGCATATATGTCACATATCTCATTTGAATTAGCTTATCTAGTGGCTTGCAAATTCTGCTTTGCAAGAAAAAAGATAGACCATAATTAATTGACTAAATGACCATAGAACTTCTGATTTAATTGTACAAATAATCAAATAGGCAGTTCTTACATGGCCAGTTAAAATAAAGAACAAACTGTTGCGAAGACAGTGCTGAAGAGAGACCTAATTCTGTGTATTAAAATCATTCATATTATTTCATTGTCCATGAGAAATCATATACCTTTTAGTTTTAAAATATTATTATCCTAGAAATATCATATTTACTTTTGCATGTCTCTAGTTTTGAGCTGTGTAGGACTCACCTACATAAATCTGAAACTTATAGTTTAGAAACTCTTAAATTATAGATAGCCCATAACTGAAAGAAGGAGATTTTTTAAGCTAATCTGAGTATTTGAAAAACATAGCACAAGCTTCTCTGATCTCTGGGATTATGCAAATTAGCCTGCTTTGTTTGGTGATTGGTCTTCAGGACACCAGCATGGGATTCCTTTGAAGTCTGATGTCATGAATACTGAAAGACTACCTCGGTCATCTCTCTACAACATCAATGTGCTTTTAGGTCTAATAGTGGACTACCTCTCTGTTTCTGCCCTTACTGAAGTTAAGAAGGCTAAATCTACCAGATCTTTAAACCAGTTGTACCTGACTCAATATCAACCATGTAATAACGGTGGCATTCATTATTATTACATATGCCTTTTGAAATAAGACTTGGAACTAGTGGAAGAGTAGACCCACTGAATCAATAGTACTTGTGTAAGTGTTGATTTAACAAAAGTCTGTTGATTCAGGGGTTTTCCCCTAGTTGGGACTAATGAGTGGATTTTGCCCATAATAACAAAATAGCAGCCAAAATCCTATTGGATGTTTAAAGGCATGCAAGAGGAATCACTGATATTGCTGCAGCTAATTGTGGCTAATTGACAAGATCTTTGGTGTGTGTCGAATGCACACAGGGTGTGTGATTGGGCATACAGTCAGACACACAACTGAACACCACCAATTAGCCATGTAATTTTTCTGCTTACACATGAATATCCAGCAAGATTCTGGCGATTCTGTTTGTGCATTTATCTGAGTGTTATGCTTTTGAATGCATAACTTTCTTATTGGTTTATCACTGATTCAGCTCTTTATTCAGTATTCTTTGCCCCTTATCTTGCATTATAAAATGAATAATATTTCGAATCATGAAGGAAATGCTTTTAAGTAAGGATGCAACAAAGTTGAAGATCACTTACTAACAGGCACAATAAAGAAAGAACACAAATCAAGATGCCAAAAAATTGATTTCCATCAAATAAGGTTTTATACTGGCATAACACAAACATAGGCCAGAATCCTATTAGTTCTGCCCACCAAGGTAAGTCCGTCAGTATAAATCTGAGTGCAGAATTGCTGCTTGATGCCAGCAAGTATTTGGCATCACACACTAGCTGCACAACTTCGTGCAAATGCCAATGATGACCTTTTAACCAGTGGCAATATGCTGTTGATATTTATGGTGATAGATTTATCCATTCTTCAAATGTATTCGAGACATTCATTTTCCCCCCAGTACAATCACCCCTCAACTTACAAACGGCCCTAGTTACAAACTTTTCGACTTACAAACTGCTCTGATAGAAAAATATTGACTCAACTTGCAAAGTTAGATTCGAGTTACGAACTGAAAAAAAATGCGTGGGAGGTGGGGAAAACGCGAAATTTGCACTTTCAGTTAACTGTTGGCCAGTGAAGAGGGTGCCTGTCTGCTTCCTTGCTCTTCCCAGTGTTTTGAGAGTGAATTTGCAAACAGTCTTCAAACTGCCTGGTACTGCCTGGTATTGCCTGGTACAGTGCTGTACGGACTGTATTTTTATTTTTTGGCTTTTTAATTTTTTTTTAATATTTGGATTTTTTAAAAGGTGTTCCCTCCTTCCTCTGCTGGCCCCCTTTCCCCCAAAAGGTGCTTGTATTTGCTTGTCTTGATTGAAAAGGTGCTTTTCAAGGTGATCCGTTGTCTGAAAGGTGCTTGGTTATTCCCAGAAGGTGCTTTTCTTGGCTGAAAAGGTGCTTTTCAAGGTGTTCTGTTGAAAAGGTGCCTGTTCTCTCCTTCCCTCCCTCTTTTCTTTCCTTTTTTAAAACCTAAGTCATCCTAGGTAAAAAGGAAAAAAAAGAAAAAAGTCTGCCCCTAGTGGTAGGAACGGATTAACTGGCTTTGCATTAGTTCCTATGGGAACTAATGATTCGAGCTACAAACCTTCCCTCGACCTAAAAACCAAAAACAGCCGGAACGGATTAATTGGTTTTCAGTGCATTCCTATGGGAAATGCTGATTCTACTTACGAACTTTTCGACTTACAAACTTCCTTCTGGAATGGATTAAGTTTGTAAGTCAAGGGTTGACTGTATCTTGAGACTTGTTCTCTCTATATTATGAATTACTTGTAACTGGGTTTGATACATCAGAAAGAGACTTGTTACATTATACTATCAGTCATTGCTTATTTGTGTTGGCAGTACCTCCAGACTTTTGGTTTATAGGTACAATGCCATACTGGTTGGTGAGCAGCTACTCTTTACACAATCTATAGAACTTATTTAAAGATGGTTGGTCTACACTTTAAGATGTTATTAGCGAATGTCTTAAATTTTCCTAAAAGAAAGCATTATATGGACCAGGTAGTATTGCGATTAGAGGGGTTTTAAACCGTTTGATACTTGCTAAGTGCCAAAATAATCTCCCCCCCCCACTCCAAATGCCAGGAGTGATTCATTGAGGTAAATCCATATTGGATCCCCAGCACATGTTTTTGCATTAAAATAATTTTAAAAAGACGTTGCAGAATAACATGAATAAGCTCAATTGAACATACTGTGCTTTTTGTTGAGTAAGCAAGCATAGGATTTTTCCATTGGCACTCAGACCATAAAATCTACTGCCATCAAATTAATGCTCCCTTTGTATCCTTTTTGGAGTTATTCTTTTTCTTTGTTTTTTACTTCCAGCCTGGCATTTTCATTTAATATGTTTTGGTATGTTTTTTTTTCCTGTTCTTCTCTTTTTGTAGAAGAATGTCTTCCAAGCAGGCCACCTCTCCATTTGCAGCTGATGGAGAGGAAGCAATGACCCAGGACTTAGCATCACAAGAACAGGAAGAAGGCAACAATGAAGAGCTTGCGGCTTCCCATCTGCCTCTGCACACCATATTGCACAACAAACCTCACTCTGAGGAGCTACCGACTCTAGTCAACACAATTCAACAAGACGCTGACTGGAACAGTGTTATCTCAACTCAGCATAGAATGGTATGTCCTAAATCAGTGGCAATTTTCGGAGTCCTGTTGAGTGCAACTCTTGATAGTAACGATATTTAACAATGTCATAATAGGTTAGGTTGAACAGATTGCTAAACTGTGGTGCATTCTTAATTAGAAAAAGAAAAGGTACCAACCTTTTTGAGATAGTAGTGATAGCAAACTTAATCCCTTCCTGAAGGTTCTTGAACGGTATCACCTTGAACAGGAAACGTCTCTCTATATTATGTAAGATGAGATGTGCAATTGCAGTTTTCTAGATTGTGTTGGACTGCATCTCCAATCAAACCTAGCCAGTAGAGTCAATGGAATGCTGTGAACCAAGGTCTCTTTGTCCTGCCTTGATGCAAACTGGCATCTACCCAAACCTCTTAAGGGGAAGAGTGGAACATGCCTCAAATACATGATCAACATCATTATCACCAGCACCACCAACACCAATTGCTATGCCTGATTTACTTCTTAACATCATTTACTGCCTCAATATCTTTTGTGGCCACAAAGCCTCTTAGCGGCTAAACCAATGTGATGATTGCAGGCAATAATTGGTTAATCAGGAAACCAAACAGCTGTAAGCATTTTTATGGCTTGCCCTTTCTCTAATGCGTATTCCATTTCAGTAAAGTGAACTACTTTTCTTCCTTCTGCTTACTGTAATGTTAGCCTGGGGTTCAAGCACTTAGCCTTAAATGATAATTTTGACACAGTCTCTGTGTCTTCTACCCTGTAGATAATATGTATCATAGAGAGACCCAGTTTGTCATCTGTTGGGCTCTGTACATCTCCCTTGGTTGTGTTAGCCTTTGAAAAATACAATATGTCTCATTTTAGCCTGCTGCCATAGGCAAAGCAGTTTTAAAAATTGACCTATGACTCAGGAATATCTGACAGTGACACTGAAGTTATGGGTGTACATTGTGTAGATAAGACAGAAGAAATGGTTGTAATGTTTGTTTCTTTCCTCAGTACCTGACACATAGAATGTCCTCTGCATGTAGACCATATAGTCATAGTCTTAGGTCATTTCCCTGTAGACTACTTACTGTGTTGGCTGTATAATCTCCTGCAGTAGAACTCTATCCTGTGCCCTGAGAGTTACAAAATATGTCTTTCGCTGTGTGGGAAGAGCCGGTGTTGCACTTCCTCCCTGCAGCATAATTACCTCTTTGGGAAAGTGAGAAGGGGTAGTAAGTAGAACTTCAAAATGGAGGGGAAATCCTTTGAGTCCAAAAAGGCCTCAAAAAGCCTTGTGGAGCAGTAGTTACAGCCAAAACTCTGCTCATGGTCAGTGTTTGCTATCAATGGATCTGACAGCTGGCTCAAGACTGACTCAGCCCTTCATCTTTCCGAAGCTGGTAAGCTTGCTGGAGGGTGGGTGAGGGCAGTGTGGAGCTTTCATAATTAAATCGAGTGTTTTAAGCACTCTGCACAGTTCTGGATTTCTGTTAAATTTCTTTTTTTGCTACAGGGTATAAGTACAGAAATCCAAAGAGACTAGCTACAAGTTCCCCAGAGTCCACCCCTTTCTCATTAACTAGCACTTAAAGTCTCAGTACGTCTCTCTGAGATATTTGTAGGAGAAAGAATAAAAAACATTTCTTTACTTAAAGTTTCTTGAAATTATAGACTTGTGTATACTGCTTTCTTTGCTACACACATACCGACAACAAAATGAAGATCAGCTGAACAGCAACAAACAATTGCTGCCAACTGGGCTCTCTTCAAATTTCAAAAGCTGGAATGAACAATTGGTTAGTGTTGGATAAATAGACAATCATCCCAGCCCCCAAAAATCCCTCCCAGTCACTCAAGCTGCAGATAGCATGTGAGGTTGTAAATAAAATTCCAACACAACATTATCAATTTTTTGCGAAGGCTTTCATGGCTAGGATCTAATGGTTGTTGTGGGGTTTTCAGGCTCTTTGGCCATGTTCTGAAGGTTGTTCTTCCTAAAGTTTTGCCAATACAATTAATACTCAACTCCCAAGCAAACTATACCAGAGCACAAAGTGTTGTCCTCTGAAGATGCCGGCCACAGAGACTGGCGAAACATTAGGAACAACAACCTTCAGAACACGGCCAAAGAGCCCGAAAAACCCACAACAACCATTATCAATTTTTGTCAGAATTTTTGTGAATCGTCCCAAACTAAAATGACTGCTGCTTTATATAAATATTTGAAGCAATAGATCAGGGTGTGCAAGATATAGCCTGTGGTTTGCATGCAGCCTATGGAAGCATTTTTGTAACACCTTAGCACCCCTGCCATCCAGTCTGAAGGACATGAAAAATCTAGCTGCATTCAAGCATTTTAAAAGCATTCCGACTTAGGCTTTGTCAATGATGCAATAATGAAAAAAGGAGCGTACATATTTGGAAAACTGATCGTAATTGACAAACCCACCACCAACACTTGCCATCTCTGTTCCCTTACAACCCCTCCTTCCCATCCAGCAATGCATTTCTAAGATGATTATTATCTAGAATTATTTCTTCTACCTCCTTTTGCAGCTGCTCCTTCCAGGCAGAAAGGGGAGTCGTGTAAGACTAGGTTGGTGCTGACTTATCTGGAAGCAAGTCCATTGGTTTCTTTGGTGCTTATCTCTATGCCTGGGATTCCACAATAAAACTCACTTCTATGAGTGCTTCTTATACCTGTCTGCACTCTTTCCCTCCATTCCACTCTTTCTGAACATTTCCCTCAACCCTGAGTTGCTATTTATTTTGTTCTGCTTACAGTAGGGCAGAGGTGGGGAGATAAACACGATAAATGCTGGTACACAGCAAACCTGTCGTCTTTCGAGCTGGCCAAGCGCTTTCCAGCAGTGATGTCTAAAGCTACTCACCTGTCCTTCCTGGTCTGAAGCCCTCGTTTTCAATATAGATTTATCCCTGCCTACCTATCTTTTTCCCTCTCAGCTCAGGATCTCACTCTCATGTTGGACCAGTAACAGTACCTAGTATTGGTACATGGTTTGCTCCTGCCTCTTCCCCTCTCTCAACAGATTCAGGAAACACCTGATTTCCTCTCTGTTCCTTTCTGTGACACTGGCTGTCTTGTGGTAGTGTTGCCCATGTGTTGCTCTTTTACTGCCTGATGTCACCAGAACTAGGAGATTGTGTGTGTGTGTGGTGGTGGTGGAGGAACGCAATACTTTCCTGGATATTCAGGGAACGTTTCCCAATTCTGAATATATACAGGACATCTGCCTTTTCTTTACTATCAAGCTTCTCATAAGAAGCTCTTTCTTTGCTAATACTTGGATAAAATGTATTTCCTCTCTGTAGTTGTAAGTAATTCTGAGAGGATTCCCAATCTTCTGAGGTTCCCCCAAGGCACAACCTGTCTCCTCAAGTTGTGTAATGAAAGAAAAATATGAGTCTGAATCCAGGTGTTCGGGGTTTAAGAAATTAAATGTGATCAAATGTGCTGCTTTTGTAGTAACTGAGCTTTTATGTTCATTTCATATATTAAGAATTGATTTTTTAAAGAGAGAGAGAGAGAGACAAGACATGATATTGAATTACATTGTGGGCAGTTCCAAATCTTCATCCAGATGTATTTCTCTACTACTGCAACTTTATGACAACACACGCTGTACCTCCCAGAAGTTAAAGTAGCCACACGTTTATTCTCTTTTGTCAGATTTCTGACAAAGGTGTACAAACGTCACTCAAGTGCCTGAACATACTGGTTTCACTTTTCTTGTTTCAAATATATATATATATACACACACATATATATATCACAGTTGGGTGGTGCTGGTGGAATTCTAGCCTTCTTGGATAAAGTTCCAGAAAATCGTTAGCACTGAAACCACATCTCCTTGAGGAGATATTTGATCGGCTGTACATAATTCTTCAAGTGATTTCTCCTAACTGATGGACTGCTTATGACTGAAAGTATTTGGTCCTAAGTAGAATTTGACATTCTGGGAGCCTTCTTTTTGTATGGTGCCACAGAAAGGCAAGGAGTTGGAAAAGTGAGGAAAAGGGTGCCTGTGCCCAAAATAATGGGAAATTAAAAAGCTACTATTGTGACTATAATATTTAACAAGCCCTCTTCTTATGGTTGAATTCATCGGTTCTGTAGAGTTGAGACAGGCCTTTTGGAGCTATGACTGCTTGACAGAGATGGCGGGTATTCCCTTATGATTGCTCATGGAACAGTTTTCGTCAGAAGTGGAAACTTTTTTTCGGCTGTTAATTCCGACAGCCCACTAGCGAACATGGACAGAGCTTTTCTAAGCTCTGATTTTTTGTGTTCTTTACAGAGGAGTCTTGTTACTGGAGGGAGAGGGCACTCCCCGATGAATACTAGGTGGGCCACAAGTCATCCCTAGTGCCCTGGGCAGGGTCAGGACTCACAGCGCTTGCAGTGCATTTAGTAATCAAATCTCCTTTCCTTCCAATTTGTCCATAAATTCAGAGCGATGAAACACGTGCCAGTGCCTGATCTAAGAGAATTTTCACTGTAGCAGTCAGGTACAGTGTGGGGGACAGATGTGTATTGGTGCTTCTTGTGAGTTGTTACATGGGAATCATTGCATTTAAATCAGAACTGTCTTAGGTAAGTCACTGTAGTAGAAGAAGAGTAATGTTTTCTGGTGATGGAACTTGAAGTTTGAATGACAATACAATTTTCAAACAGAAGAAAACAATTTCAGATGTGTTAATACTCTAAAAAAAAGAATGTTTCTCTAGAAGGCAAAATATTTCACTGGGAGCCTGTACCTGCTGCAATTAACATGGAAACTATTTGACTTAAACGCAGATATCCATCAAGCTAGTATGGTGTAGTGGATAGAGTGATGAACTAAAACCCAGGAGACCTGGCTTAAAATCTTTCTTGGCTATGGAAATCCGCTGGGGAGATGGCAGTGCTAAAACTACTCCTTAACTATCTCACATACCTTGAAAACCTTATTAGGATTGTCATAAGTTGGATGCAACTTGATGACACAAAAACATAGCACAATGTCTATTAACAA